CGCCTAATATTATCCCCTTACTTTTTTCGGTTATTTTACCGTCATATCTTTTTCTAGACCTGCCTACCATTACTGCGCTACGTTTTTTTCGATTACTATATATTATTATATTTTGTTTACCTTATTTTTTACAAAATAAACTTTTCACAACATTAAACGTCTTCAAAAAAGTACTTTACTAATGCGTTTCGAAAAAAAGCGATGTTCGCGATGAATGAGGTACCCCCTATCCGGCTAAAAATGGAGACTCTACATTGTAGAGTGATTGTAGATTTCGATTCGTACACTACATGAAGGAAAAGAAGGACGAGAATCGAACCCTACATTTTAGTTGTCGAATGCGAATTGAATTCAATTCGAATGCTACTTGCTATTGGGTTACAACACGATTTCCTACTGCCAGCATTGTAAACAAGTTTTCTGGCTCTAGACCGTTTTCACACTGTTCCTTAATAATTCATTCGAAAGTCTGTCATGGTATCATATGTTTTCCTACAACTTCATGTTGACTGTAAGAATAATATAGTTTGCTTTGCATTAATAGGGTGCTCAAGGGCATTCCTTGCCTGCCACCCTCAATATACATATACATATACAAATGGTTTAAAGTTGAATGGTAATACAGCTTGGTGTAAATAGTTTTAATCCCAGATAGAGGCACTACAAAGAGACTATGGTTATGGCCTTCAAATTCTTCAGAAGATTACAAAATGCTCACCACGTGGCTGAATTGTTCAATTGGCAAGAACATCAACGCCCTGAGGTCACCAACACAAAGTGAAGGCAAACAACGTCAAAATTAAAGTGCGTCCAACTTTTTTCTCATCGGATAGCAGAAGAATAGAACAGATTTCCTACTCCGGTCGTTCTTGCTGAAAGCGTTGAGACACGTAGAAGAAGACTTGAGTAAACCTTAATTGATAGCCCTATTTGTAGTAAATATCAATCAATTGGTCGGTGTATTTGAAGAAAAAAAGGCTTGCACCTTTGAACTCCAAATTTTTCACATACAAATCTCAAGAATTAGAAAACATGTAAAGAAATTGCAGTCAGGTGAATATATTCAGACTAATATCGTCCGCTTTTCTTTTAAATTAATAAGTCACATCTTCCTAGTTCTGCTGCAGCGTGTAGATGTAAGTGTTTGAATGTCTCAAAAGATTAGGACGTAGCAATCGCTTCGGGTAGGTTATTCCACGGTTCCATGACCCAGTTACCGAAAAATTACTTATTCACGTCCAATCTTCCTTGAGGTACACGTAGTTTGAAGGGGTCTCCCTGGATACAAGTCGTTGTGACGACTTGGAAAAATTCAGCAAACAGGGGGGGAGGAAGGGTGTGCGATCTAAGCCACGCACGGAATGGAAAGTTTGTATCCAGTCTCCGCGTAGCTGCCTTTAATTCAAAGGATAGATATTAGGGTAATTTTGGCGAATCTCACATGGCAGTGCTCCTCAAACTCCTAAAAATAATAATTCCACTACAACATACTTTAAAATTTTCACATTTTCCCTTAGGAATGCATCGAAAATTTGAGGAAGGGAGCCTATCGGTCAATTTGGCGACGTCGGCTACCTTATCACTTATGGGTGAAATACGGCAGTATGGCATGCTGAAAATAAAGCGACAAATAGCTCGAACAAGAATCTACTGAAAACTGAATCGGAAAGAAAAAGTAAGCACGCCCTCAACAGACAATCCTTTCGCACTACAGTAGGCGCCGGTTATTAAGCCCACCTCGGGCCCAGACCAAATTGGGCTTAATAAAGGGCGGGCGCACTAACCGGAGTGTCCTAATTCTTGATTAGCAAACGCAGAATAGGCACTATTCATTACATACGTACTGAATTA